CTGAAGGAGACTCAGTTAAGAGTATTGGAAATGCTGTTGCGATGGTTCCAATTAGTGATTCAGTAATATCAGCAGAGCCTTCTCCAGAGCCTTCAGAATAAGTGTTTCTTTGGACTACCGTTGTCTCAGAAAATGTTATCTCATTAATGTCAGCAGATGAAGCAGTTCCTGTAACAGCAGAGAATGATTGGAAGATGTCTGTGGATGAGTCTCGAGAAGAGCTTTCCTCTAATGGAGAACTGACAGAAGAACTTTCTGTTCCAGCTTTGGCAGTAGAAACTGAAGGTTTACTTGTTTGACCTGTTTGAATACTTTCTTCATCCACCACTGGTAGATTTGTTGTTTTCTCTGTGCTGAACAGTGAGGACCCTGTAGGAGATACAATGTGTAGTCTAGAGGTTCCAATTGGGGTTTCACTTGTAGTCGCTGGGTTTGTTAGCGGAGATGCTGAAATTTCCTCTAGCCCTGCAGAGATTTCATCAAGCTTCAAGGCTTCAAGGGCTTTATTAGGTTCATCCTCTCTGAGAGGTACCATTGACTCAGCAATGGTGACTAGAGTATGGTTATAGTCAAACAAATCAGTATATTCTGTTGATGGTTTTGTTGTGCTTTTTTCTACAGATTTAATGGAGCTAACATTTAGCTTTTCAGTCAAGTTAAACTCAAACAATGTAGTTGATTCATCACTGCTCCATTGAGCTGTCTCATTGATGAAAATCTGTGTACCTTTGGTGTACTTTTCTTCCTGCTTTGAAAAACTAGTTTGAGTGATGGATACAGCAGCATGTGGAAATGGGTCTTGACTTCCTCTTAAAGAGACTGCTTCATCATCAGCCATTGATGTCATGGGACTGTCAGCCAATGGAGACAGCGAATCCTTTGGCCGCACTACTTGTGCTGAAAATAAAAGCAAAAATAAAGGCACACTGTTAGTTATTGACCAAATTATGTGTGTGTGTGTGTATGTATGTGTATGTATTTTTTTATTTGTATATATACAGTATATATAATATATATATATATATAGTAAGGAAAATAAGTAGGGGTCTGAAATTGTCATCCTAGGTGCATGTCTACTCTGAGAGACATAATCTAAAAAAGAGAAAAAACCAGAATTCACAATGTGATTTATTAACTATTTATTTTCTTTATACAGCAGCAAATGAGTATTTCAACACCTGTCTATTAGCTACAATTCTGACCCACAAAGACCTTTTAGTCTGCCCGAACTACATACACCACACCTCTATGTTTGTGTTTAGGTTTCTGTTTTCTCTTTTGTGTCAAACAACCCCTCTCTGAGTGAGGCCATAACTACAACAGAATACATTTTGAGAAAGGTTTGTGCATTTGTAAGATGTTTGACATTTTCCTCGTTCATTTTCTGGATTTCCTAGCAGCCTTGACAGAAGCATAATTTTGATATCCACGGGTTTGGAAAGCTAATTTGATGTGGTTCTGCTTTTTTTTTTTTTTTTCCTTCTGTCTTCCTCAGGATGTGTTTGGTCCCATAATGTAGAGTTCTGATGACAGAAAGTCTGTATTACAGTGGGTGGTGAGACTGGAACAGAAGGTACTGATCTGTGTGGGTTGGTTTCCTGTAAACCTCAATGTTGAGTCTTCCATATTTTTCCATGTGCACCAAACAATCCAAAACGGATGTTTGTTGTCTTTAGTGTTCTCTCTGGTGAATGTGACGTTGTCTACATTATAAATATGTCTAGTGTCCTTCACTTTAGTTTCAACGAAAGGTATCATTCACATGCCTCAGTCAGTTGCCTTATTGGAAGGTGCTTAGAGCTTTCTTTTCCACTATATCCCCTAGTGATTGGTTCTTATATAATTTAAAACTAAACAATAAAACTGAATCACATTTAGTCTCATACAATACCCAAAGAAACCAAAAAAAAAAAAAATGGAAACAGCCAGAATTGAACGTAAACTATAAATATTTCTCTGATTTTTTTCTTCAAATGTGCAGCAAGGAGCTTCAGATCCACGTGTATTCTCAAAGGGGAGCACTTTTGCTAATTTTTAAATCAGGAGAGATAAGTGAAATAATTGAAAAAAGTCAGATGTGGTGTAAAAGTTGTAGATGAAAATAGCAGGCTTGGCTGTGCAGAAGGACATTGGCACAGGAAGAATGCTGAGGATGTGTGTGTCCCCCGAGATCCTACTGAACTGCTGGTACATGATCATGGGTGGCTTATTTGCTAGTTTGCATGTTGCAACATCACAGAGTGGCAATAAGGGACAGAGCATCTCCGTGGTAGTTCAAGACTTAACTACCCTCTATATACCCTGCCTTTTACCAATACCTACTGGAGAAAGGCACCAGCAACACTGTACCCCTGACACAAAAGCTTCTGTGAGTAAAAAGAAGAAGGCTACTGTATGAATTTGTGAGATTTATGACTAAATCTGTCCAATGCAAAAAGCAAGTTGCCCAGGCAAAAATGTACTCTGATTATAAATAAGTCTGTCAAGTCCTCTTCCCCCTGATTTGTTTATTAGTGGCAACCAGTTGGGCAAATGAAAAAGTCCATAGTATATTACTTAAAGAATTCTTCCTCCTTCCCGCTCCCTCTTTTCCTTGCTGTCTCTACCCTAAGCCCCATTGCCTTGTCTGTTTTCCACAAATGATAGTGTGGAAAGATTATCCATTGCAACTAAAAACACCTGTGGCTGCTCAGCAATGCTGAAAGACACCTGTTACAAAAACGGGTTAGGCCTGAGAACCTTACTGACCCACTTAAACACCTACTTGTTCTACACCCCTTGCACACATACAAATTTAAAGGAAAAGTCCGGTCATATTCAAACATCTGAAAGTACTTTCATTATGAAATTATTACATACTTTTCAATGAATGATAAGTGTTTTTAATTAAGAGTAATTTCCTTTCAGTGTGCTTTACTGGAGACATCCATGTTTATCAAAGAGCATGGGTTTGTGACGTCACGGTGCGGTATTGGCTGTTGAGCAAGTCCCCATGCTGTATCTGGAGTTTGTCACAACACGCTATTATCCAAGTCATCTTGAAAACATTCTTCTTCGAAATGTTGACTACATATTACGTGTTTTTTCTCTGGCCAGAAGTTCAATGGCAAATCCT